TGCTGGAAATGGCTTGTTCTTCTCATGTGGACCAACTGGGGACTCAACCTCAAAAGGCAATGGCACTTCATCACTGTTCTGTCTATGCTTGGCATCTTCTTCATCACTGGGCTTCCTGTGAAGCAAAGCAAAAATTTAAATGGAGAGACAAATTAAAAGGGGTGAATTCATCATTGTGAGATTGTTAATAAAATCAAAAATCATACTTATAATGGATTCATGCACTGAGGATCTTTCCAATCAAATATTACTCTATTTGGATAATGAGTAGTAAATTTTGAAAAAGATCATTGTAAGTACAGTAGTGGAAACCATCAACTTTGAATGAATTTATTTATTTACATTACATCTAATCATAACTTACCTTTTTGAATTTGGAAGAATCACTCTCTGTCAACAATGCTATTGAAACTGAAATACTTGAGGACTAAAAATAAAAATTTCAAAAGTTTTAAATGCAGGAGTGATTCTCTGTCACCATAAAATAATCAGCATAGAGATATTAAGCAATTACACAAGTGATAACATTTATGGTACTGTATTATCAAACTTATGCTTGGATAGATTAGTTAAACAAATAACATTTCTGAAACAATGTACAGTAATGTGCTCCAAAAAAGTTGAGTGTTTCCATCACTTGTGAGTTCAGTATATGATCAGTAAAATTCTAAAACCAATTCCATGAAAACTGTTTATTGTTCATATGCGTATGGAATGGACCATATAAGGAAAAACCTTTCAAATTTATTCAAGTGTTGCAAAAAAAAAGGGCCAAAACTCTATCCAAACCTGCTGGCGTTGAATTCAGGCCTGGGTCCAAGAACCTACTCATTCAAAATAAACTCCAGAGGCCCCAAGGCCTTCATCACTGCAGACTCCAGGCTGTCCAAATTTGGGCCAGGTCCTTCCTTCTCATCCAGCTTCATGGGGATAAGAAATGGTGGCAAGACCCTGNTCCAGCTTCATGGGGATAAGAAATGGTGGCAAGACCCTGACACCACCCATGGGTCTCTTGGGGCTCATAGGTAGTCTCCTGGGTGGCTGGAAAAAGGTCCTTGCCAACATGGCTGCTGGGCTCATCATAGGTCTCATCCTCATTGGCATCTCTCCTTCATCCTTGTCAAAGCTGCCAAAAAAAAAACACACATGTTTATAGCAAACTGCCATAAATAGAGAAATTATTTTTCAAAAAGCTTTTAAATTACATCATATCCAATTAACTTGAGGGAGATTATATGTTAAATTACATACAGTAAATTGTATTCAACCCTACTGAGATGGAACATTCTCATCTTTAAATCGCAATTTTTTTAATGCAAAAAAGTTGCCTATTTTGGACCCCAATGTTTCTTTATACAGAAACTGTTTAGAATCCCTAAAAAGCTCTTTTAAACCCAAAAGTTATTTGGATGCTCTTTGAGAATAAACAATTTAAATTCACTTACAACTGTTACAAGTGAATAGATGGATGATTTTAATTGGGAAAGTAAATGTAAAATGCAATAACAAAAAAGGACATTGGTTTGGTTCTCCTAAAAGTGTTTGGGCATTTAAAATTTGTCATTGAAATTAATTCCAGACATAATTTCTTTTCAGTCGAAAAGGCATTGTCACATTTAAATAAGAGCTTCATATTTAATTTGCATACTGTACTTGATATGTATATGCTAAAAAATATAGAAGCTGAAATACTTTTCAAAATTAAATTTCATATCCATCATCAAGGCTGAGGTAAAATTCAAATTTTCAATTGAACTCTTCCACTCTCTTTCAAAAGATATCACGTTAAGTTGTTCAATGTTTTTCTCTTTCCTGTAGTGTCAATAAAATAATAGCCAAAAGACCCCCAGAAATTTGAGTTACGAAGGTTTGAAAGGGAAATCCTTAAAGTTAACATACTGAGATTTGAAAGGCTGTTTTCATAAGGGAATTCACACAGGGACTTGAAAAACAAACTTGGAGATTTTTGAGTTATTGAGGTTCAACTTTTGCATGATCATTATTACTTTTGCATCAATATTTATTCCTTGTGGGCCTTTGCCCTACACTTTCCAAAGTTTCTAACTCTAAAATTTGCAAAGATATTTGCTTTGGAATTTTGCACATTGTGAATTGCACCCAACAGGAAGCATTTTGTCTTAACTGATTTTATTTCTTTTTGGAAGCAAGTTTTTATTCCATAATGCAAGATTTTAATCAGTGATTGTGTGTGTGACATTTGTCTTTATGGAATCTGTGATGAGACAATAATACAGTCAACCCGTACACAATGGACTTGATTTGTGCAACAGACTAGTCTGCTGTGTGAAAAGTCTGTTATGTGAAATCAATTATTAAAAGAAATGAAAATATTTGCTTTTTAAAATCAATTTTAAACCAAGAGACAAAGTCTATTATGCAGACTTGGTATATTGTGCAGGAGGGAAAACCAACCTCAAGAGGCGGTCTGTTGTGTGAAAATCTGTTGCTTGGTATTTTGTGCGAGGGTCAACTGTAAGTCCTCTTTTAACATCCAAGGAGTGAGGATGCTCCAGCTTCCTCTATT